TATATATATATATATATATATATATATATATATATATGTGTGTGTGTGTGTGTGTGTGTGTGTGTATTTATTTATTTATTTATAAAATTTACGACGTGAACAGTTTGAGAAAACATATGAAAAAAAATTGGGACAGTGATGTTTACTGTTCACGTGAACAGTTTTGATTAAAAAAAAATGGTGATTGTTTAAATAGTTTATGTGTGTATGTATTTATATTTGTAGACTTTTTAAAAATACTTTCCTTAGAATAAATTTTATGTTTAGCCGCAATAATCAATAAATTATTTAGTTACTAGATTTTTCTCAAATGGGTGAAATTTTATAATAGTCCATGCACTAGTATATGACATTTTTCTAGTAGCTAAAATTTCAATGTAATCCCCATGTAAAAAAAAAAAAAAAAAAAAAAAAAAAATAATAATAATAATAATAAAAATAAAATAAATACTAAATAAATAAATTTTTGATAATATATAAACGTGTATTATCGTTAAACTCATAAATGTTACATGTAATAAAACGTTTATTTGTTTCCTTGCGTAATATTTGTTAAAGGTTAATATTTTTTTGAAGATTTAAGAGTTTAACGATAATACACGTTTTGCACTCAACGACACCCTCCGACGATCCTAAGGTATGTAAAGGGGTAAGAAGATGAATGTACTTAGACATTTTGCATGATTTAAATATTTTAAACTGCATATCTTTAAAATTTTAAGGTTATTTTTCTCGTTAAATTTATTATATGCATACGAAAAAAATGTATAACTTGTTAGACTTAGTACTGGAATGTGACCGAAAACTTCAAATTAAATTTTAGGAAATGGCACCACTTACTTACACGAACTTGATGCGCGATTTACTTCGAGTGGTATAAGAACTGAGCAGACAGAGCCAAGTACCGTCGCCACAGAATGCACCACCACAAAAAGATGCACCTCCATTTGTCTCGGGAGCCGTCTCAATGGTTGAGCAATTTCGTAGGTACAAGCCTCCGACTTTTGATGGTGGTTCCGACCCACTAGCTATTGAGGAGTGGATTAGAGATCTGGAGTGCATCTTTCGACACATCGCTTGTACCGGTGCATAGAAGGTGCTATGCGCATAATTTATGTTTGTTGGAGCAGCTAGTCACTGGTGGAAATCTATCTTACGCACTAGGACGGAAGAACAGTAACATAATTTGACTTGGGAACAGTTTAAGGATGAAGTGATGGCAAAATATTTTCCACAGGCTCTGAGAGACTTCAAGGAATTAGAGTTTCTATAGCTCAGGTAGGGAGACATGTCACTTACTGATTACGAAAGGCAGTTTGAGCAGCTCTCAAGATATGCCCGCACTTAGTGGATACAGAAGTTAAGAAGATTAGGAGGTTTGAAAATGGACTGCGCCCAGAGATCGGCATAATCATTATGTCCCATCGCTTCACCTCATATCGTGAGATGTTTGAGAGAGCCCATGCTATTTCATACCAGAGAACCACATTTGGACAATATGCCTAGCAGAGCAAGGAGTCGTTGGGAAAAAAAGTGGAGTGATCAGAATAAGAACAGACGTAACTGGCAAAATAAAAGGCTGAGCACAGGAGTTCGTATTGGTGGGACAAGTGGGAATATTACACCATGTCCTAAGTGTAATAAACTCTACAGGGGTGAATGTTTACTTGGAAAGAACATGTGTTTTCGGCGTGGTAAGTCGGGACACGTTGCTCTCAAATGTACAGAGCCTCCAAAGAAGAAAGATGATGATCAGGTCAAGAACAAGAAAGGAAAGGCCCGGGTTTTGCATTGAATTAGCATGAGGCAGAGCAGGATCTGAATGTGATAGCAAGTATTTTATTATTAATATTTTCAACATATATGCTTATGTTCTTTTTACCTAGGACCATAAATTGTTTTAACTCTGTCACTTGGTTGCTAGTCTAAACTATAATTACGGAAACGGGTATTCTATTATTATTATCTGATGTACCTGCTTACATACTTTTTGACTCTGGAGCTACAAATTCTTTTATCTCTGCATCCTTCATTGCTAGGTCAAACTTTGCATGTGTGAAAATGAATTATGAATTAGAGGTTAGCATCTTTCAGGAAGAACTCTTTGTACAAATCGGATGACTAAGGCTATAAAGTTAGAGATTGATGGGAAAATATTACAACAGACTTATACCTTTTGGAGATGAAAGATTTCGATGTTATTTTGGGCATGGATCAGTTGGGACTTAATCACGCGACCATTCAATGTCAAGAGAAAAAAGTATTATTTCTTAGACTGGGAGAGGAAGAATTTCGTTTCTTTGGAGTAAAGTTCAAGTCTTTGTCTCGTCTTGTATCGGCTATACAAGCAGAAAAGATGTTGAAGAAAGAATATTGTTAAGGATTTCTAGTTAATATCACCAGTTCCCAACATACAGAAACTACTGTTAACAATATTAACACTGTACGAGACTTTGCAGACGTATTCCCAAAACAATTACCAGTCATTCCACAATATAGGCAAGTGGAATTTACAATTGATTTGGTTTTTGGAACAGCACCAGTATCCAAGACCCCGTATCGAATGACACCAAAGGAACTTCAAGAATTGAAATTGCAATTAGAAGAGTTGCTGGAGAAAGGTTTCATTTGACCAATTGTATCTCCTTGGGGGTGCTCCTGTACTTTTTTTGAAGGAGAAGGATGGAAGTATGAGGATGTGCATTGACTACTGGGAATTAAACCATTTAACTATAAAAAACAAATACCTGCTGCCAAGAATCAAATATTTATTTGACCAGTTAAGGGGTGCTATAGTGTTTTCAAAGATCGACTTGAGATTAGGGTATTACCAGCTAAAAATCAGGGCAAGCGATATACCGAAAACTGCTTTTAGGACTCGTTATGGGCATTATGAATTCACTATCATGCCTTTTGTATTAACCAATGCTCTGACGGTATTTATGGATCTCATGAATTGAGTGTTCCGTCAGTACTTAGATCAGTTCGTCATAGTATTATTGACGACATACTTGTATATTCAAAGGATAAGAAGCAGCATGAGGAACAACTTCAAATGGTACTTGAAACTTTAAGGAATGAGAAACTATATGTTAAATTCAAGAAGTGTTAATTTTGGTTTGATCGCTTAGGTTTTCTTGGTCACATGGTTACCACTCAAGGAATCGAAGTAGATCCTGCAAAAATGGAAGCATTAACAAATTGGCCGAGGCTGACCAGTGTGGGTGAAGTCCCCAGTTTCTTGAGATTGGCTAGTTATTATAGAAGATTCATTAAAAGCTTCTCAAAAATAGTAGGACCGATGACTCAGTTGACAAGAAAGGGTGTGAAGTTTCAATGGACAGAAAAATATGAAAGATGTTTTCAAGAACTCAAGCAGAGATTAGTTTCAGCTCTGATATTGATGATACCAGATGGCTCGGATGGATTTGTGATTTATAGCGATGCCTCCAAATAGGGTTTAGGCTGTGTACGATGCAGCATGGAAAAGTAATTGTTTACGCCTCGAGACAGTTGAAGCACTATGAACAAAACTATCCAACTCACGACTTGGAACTTGTAGCAGTAGTTCACGCCTTAAAGATATGGCGTCATTATCTCTATAGTGGGAAGTGTGAAATTTATATAGACCACAAAAGTCTCAACTACTTTTTCACACAGAAGAAACTGAATATGAGACAAAGGAGATGGTTGGAGTTAGTGAAAGATTATAATTGCACAATTCATTACTACTCGGGTAAGGCTAATGTAATTGTAGATGCCCTAAACATAAGGACAAGATCACAGTTAGCAGTTCTTTCCAAGGTGCAGAAATACTTGGTAAGGGATTTTGAGAAATAGGGGGGGTGTATTCAATTGAGATTTTTAAAAACTTTTGAATACTTTTTAAAGTAGGTGACTTTTGTGGACTTTGTGGAATTTTAAGTGATTTCTATGGATTTGCTAGGAATTAATAAAAGTGTTTCCTAGATTTGTGGAGACTTTTACTAGAGACTTTAAAGACCTTTTTTTTTAAAAGAATATATTAAACATATATAATGTAATATGTTTAACAACTTCTTATATATATTCAAATCGTCCACAACTCATATAATTGAAAATGTAAAGTAATAAATCGTATTTTTCATGTCAATTTTTTTCAAAAAAATTAACAAATATTTCGCCAAACATAAAGTACTTTTTCATCTTATATCAAGTAGATTAACAAATAATAAAAATATTAAAAAAAAAGTATTTTAGTAATGATAAAAAAAAATATCAAACATTTCCAACATCATTCCACATGTCCGTTGCTAGAGAAGCCCTCCATACATTAGCATTCTCTCTTTCTTGTTCTTGACTCTCAAAAAATGGTCCAAAGTCTTCCCGCTTATTAATCGAAAAAGATGAAGAATCTTCGTTATCGGGTTCGATTGGAAATTCATCGGATCGACATTCTTTCTGGAGAAAATTGTGTAATCCTGCACAAGATAATACGATTTCGGTTTGTGTACAATATGAAAATGGATGAGCTGTTTTGAAAATTGTAAATCTTGATTTAAATATACCAAATATCCTCTCAAATACGTTCCTCAAGGAAGCATGACGAAATTTAAACAACTCTTTTGTATTTTCAGGGTCACGACCTTGACTAACAAAATCTTGAAGATGATAACGGACACCTCAAAAAAGAGTTAAAAACTGACGTCGATTTGGAAATCCACAGTCTCCCAAAAAATATTTACCCAAATATAAAATACTTGTAAAGTTAACAAGTAATTATGAAACAATAAGATAAAAGAAAAAAAAAAAGAAATAATAAAGCCGTACCTTGTGGCATTTTAAGTCAATTTCTCCTTGTTAAAGCATCACTCAACACTATAGAATCATGGGCTGATCCCTCCCACCCACTAATCACGTATATAAATTCCAAATCAAAGTTACAAGCGGCCAAAACATTTTGAGAAATTGTTCCATGATGATTTCTATAACTGCTTGTATCACGCCCAGTTACCATTGCTGGAATATGGGTACCATCAATAGCTCCAATACCATCCTAAAAATAATAAAACAATACAAAGAATTCACGAGAACACTAATGAAAACATAAAACAAAAATTATAATAAATCTTATTTCATCACATACTTTGAAGTAAGGATAAAATCTTGTACTTTTTCTTATTTTTCTGGCACAACGAATCCCCGTTTGACCATCATATCTATCGCAAATTTGTTTAATGTTTGTAAAATCTTGTTGAAACTTTGGCTAGTAGTGAAATGTGATCGACCAAATTTTTGACGAATCAAGCAATATCTAGTATTTTGACCAACAATAAGTACGAACGTTGCAAGCATTTCTTCAACACAAATATACCTAATATCCTGTAAGGGTGTTTTTTCTAATGATATTGCTTAATTTTAGAAATATATCTGGATACATTCTATAAACTTGTCGAAAGTTTTCTGGATCCTCCTTTAATATTTTATGTATATAGTCATATCCATATCTAGTTTTTGGTCACCTAGTTAGTGGACGTGTAATACGTGCACAATGCATATTATTTACAAGATCATTTATCACGTAGAGAATTGCTTGAATTGCCATCCATAAATACCGTCTGGTTTCATATAATGCTTCCTTATAGTTATCTTCTTCAATCTTAGCCACTTCTTTTTCATGATCTTTATGTAAGTTAACATAAGACATTATATATATGGAAGTACCTAAACATAGAAGGAACAAAAATTTAATGCATAGACAAAGATAACGATAATGTCACGTAAAATGAATCAATTGTCATCAAATTAATAAAATATCAAAAAAATACAACCAATAAATCAAACAAAAAACAATTCAAAAACTTCAAAAATTACTACCAATCATATCCCCCCCAAAAAAAAGCCTCAATTTAATTTAAATATTATCCATTCAGAACGTTCTTCGAGCATCATGCTCAAGAACTTAGACTTTTTTGCTTTTGTATTAAGCAAATCAAGGACCTTGAAACGATCATCATCATCCAAGTTTGGGATCTCCTTGATAACGTTCCAACAATTAGCCTCTCTGGTGTCAATTGATTCAATTGCTTGAGTGATCTTGTCAACTGTATTAGCAAGTTTGTCTATAATGTTTGATTGAGTGCTTTTGGGCTCAAACGAACTAGTTTTGCTTCAAATTATATTCTACTTCGTTTTCGAATTGATGGGGAAACCTATGAACTTATAGGATCTTGCTTATCGGTTACTATAAATGATTCAGTATCAGGATCATACATGAAGTCGTCTATTAAACTATCACTAACTCTTCTTTCTTCTGTATAAAAAGTTCTTGCATCAGTATCATCTCCTAATGTAATTGAGTGTGTCCCAACAGTTGTCCCACTTCCAACTACAATCCTCAAATCCTCATAGTCTAGAAAAGTGTCCGTGCAATAATTTTTATCTTCGGGATGTGACTATTAAAGAAAAAAATATGTATGAGTGCTAATATGTGAATCATACACTTCACTAACCAATAACTCAAATTTCATATGTTTCTAAATCAAGTAATAAAGGAAGCTCAGCATAAAGTAATCGTCCCATACTTTATCACTAGCAGTGAATTTCTTCATCACACGATCCCATTCGAACCTAGAGTTATGATGCATAAACTTAGAATACTTCTTATACTGTTTTTTAAACCATTTCACACGACTTTTATATTGGGCATAAGTCTTTTCAACCCCAAGTTTTTTGGTTAAAATAAGGAAGTATATGTTTTTCTACAGTTATCTTGCTCAACGACCATTACTATCACGCCAACCACGTGTGGCAGCATCAACCATGAGTTTTAAAAGCTCATTGCTTTCTTCCGACATCCATTTCTCATATTTTTCGATACTTTTCCCTGAACCTTGTCATTTCCTTGTGTTGAATCTTTCATTAAAACTAGTGTCATATTATTAGAGAACAAATATTTAGGCAAATGCAAAATGATATAAATCATGAATTTATGACCACAACATCATGGAACTAATCTTCTACAAATCCCCAACAAGAATATAAACAAAAAAGTATGTCAAACTTTACATCTCTATTTCTTGTTATAGCTCCAGCCAATCATGATCTATGCAATCCTAAATACTTCTATGTCAATATGGTAGGACAGGTCGAGAAACAAACTTGTTAAATTAGACTGAGGAAAAAACAAAGCATCTTAAAAACTCTCATTTCTAGTCTTTTATTTGATAACATTTAAGCAAATCTTCTTGCATGGGGATAAAAGGACCTTAACAAAAGATGTAACCAGCTGTAAGCCAAAAATTTTTATACGGGCAATGAAACAAAAAGAATGAGTTTTTTTCTTATTGTTGTGAGAATTACAACTGAGGCATCCTTAAAAAAAAAAATACATAAAATGATACAGCATATATCTGTGTAAAGCTAAATATATAAGGTATCTTTAATACAAAAGTATAGCCATATAGGATAGACAGCGCATGACTATGGAAGACTAAATAAGCTGATATATCATATATCTGTAAACTCAAAAGCATGATAGAAGTCGATATTCCATTATAAATTGAACTTCCTTAACACCTCCCCAACTTCTTTCAATATTCTATGTAAAATTGACAACAAAGCTATTAAACAAACCAGTGATGTACATATCACTTTTGAACTTTTCCAGTAAGGCAAAAAATATCTTATAGTGTCATAGAGTGGGTAGATTAAAACTGACAACTTGAGATCAGGAAGTACAAAGAAATAGCACAAAATAATGTTGATAAAAACATAGTGAAGATACATGCTCAAATTAATGTGTTAGAAGTAAAAATCCAGCTCCTTTTCCTTTTCTTTATTCAGTTTTTTTTTCTTTCTCTGAGATGGCCTTAATTGTCATATATTAGCTTGAAAAATAGTCCCATTCTTTCACTTGTCACATGCATACAAAATATAATATACAACCATGCCATCAAATTGCACTTTGTCTAATTTCAAAAAGTCAACCAAATATTTAAAGAAAATCACAAAAAGTACGTGCCCACCTATAAAATTTAATTCATCTGTACTATTCCTACACACCAGAAAATCAACAAAAATTAGCTAAAAAACTTATTAAAATCTACTTCAAATTTCTGAAAGCAACTAATGAAAAACACATAAATTTACCATAAAACACAAATCATTATAAATCAAACAGAAAATTGATTGGAAGATTCAAAGAAAATTTACTATGAATTTGCTTGATTGGAAGAAAACTCATATCAAAGATGGAGGAGATTCAAAGATTCAAAGAAAACTCGTAGTAAACAGCAAACTCATAGCAAAGGTTTATCCATAAATTCATGTTCTATCATAGTAAACTCAGAAATTTTAGTATAATACAAGATGGAGGAGAAAAATACAAGAAAAGAGGCCGGATTGGAAGAGAAATATCGTGAAAGGGTCTGAATCTTCTGTCATAAATTCATATCAAACTCATACCTGATTGGAAAAGATGGAGGAGAAAACCCTTGATGGAAAAAGAGAAGAGGCGGGCTATGTTGAGAAATCTCTCAATGGATGATAGATTTGCTTTGAGAAATCCTATTTATATTTTCTACCAAAAAGTCTCTGGAAGTCCTATAAAGTATAGATTCCTTGAAAGTCATCCTCAATTGAATACCACGGGACTTGTTAGAGACTTCTAAAAGTTTCAATTGAATACCCCATAACTTATAGAGACTTTTTAAAAGCCTATAAAAGTCTCAATTAAATACACCCAAACTTTTAGAGAGTCTTCCAAAATCTCAATTGAATACACCGATACTTTTTAAATTCCAAAAATCTTTAAAAGTCGCAATTGAATACACCCCATAAGATTAGAAGTTATCACACCGTTGACTTAGACTACAACGATGATTAAAACATTTATGATTCAACCTACACTTCGTGATCGAATTAAGGAAGCGCAATATAAGGATCCATTTTTACAGAAGATAAAGACTGAGATTTGTTCAAACAAACGTACAGAGTTCGAAATATCTGCAGATAACACGCTGAGTGTACCTAGGGATGAAAGTATAATAAATGAGATATTGGAAGAGGCTCACTTTACCCCATATTTGGCACATTCAGGTGGTACAAAAATGTATCGAGATCTTCGAGATACATTTTGATGGAGAAACGTGAAGAGAGGAATTGGTCTATTCGTTGAAAAATGTATTACTTGTCAGTAATTCAAGGCAGAACATTAAAGGCTATCGGATTACTGAAATCATTGGATATTCAAGAATGGAAGTGGAAACACATAACGATGGACTTTGTGGTAAGCTTACCGAGGTCAGCAAAAGGTCACAATGCTATCTGAGTAGTGGTGGATTGTCTAACAAAGTCAGCCCATTTTCTACCAATCAAATTAAATTTCAACATGGAACAGGTCGCACGGTTATACATCAAATAGATAGTCAGATTGCATGGAGTTCCAGTAACCATTGTGTCAAATAGAGACCAGAGGTTCACATCTAAATTTTGGAAAAGTTTACAGACAGCTATGGGGACGAAATTGAAGTTTAGTACTGCTTATCATCCTCAGGCGAATGGACAATCAGAAAGAACCATTCAAAATCTGGAAGATATGTTAAGAGCGTATGTTTTGGATCTTGGAGGAAGTTGGGAGACACGCCTGCCTTTAGTGGAGTTTGCTTACAACAATAGTTTCCAGACCACTATAGGTATGGCCCTATATGAAGCTCTTTATGAAAGAACGTGCATATCTTCTGCCCATTGAGATGAGGTCGAAGAGAATATAATTTTGGGTCCTGAAATCATTGAACGAATAGTTAGGCGGTTGACAAGATTAGAGCCAGAATAAAGATAACGCAAGACCGACAAAAAAGTTATGCTAATGGTAGAAGAAATGATTTGGAATTTAGTGTGAGTGATAAAGTTTTTCTTAAAGTAGCACCCATGAAGGGTGTATTGAGATTTGGTAGGAAGGGAAAGTTGAGACCACAATTTATTGGACTTTTCGAGATCCTTGAAAGGATTGGTGTTGTGGCTTACCGACTTGTCTTACCACCTTAATTTGCAGCAGTGCATAATGTGTTCCATGTTTCGATGCTCAGAAAATATGTTCATGATTCAAATCATGTTGTAAGTTACCAAACTTTGGAGCTACAAAAAGATCTATTATATGAAGAAATCCCAACAATGATTCTGCATAGAAAAGTACATCAACTCAGAAATAGAGAAGTTTCCCTGGTCAAAGTGCAATGACGAAATCATGGACGAGAAGAGTCAACGTGAGAGAAGGAAGATGAGTTTAGAACCAAGTATCCAGAACTCTTAGATTAGCAAAGGTAAATTTTCGAGGACGAAAATATTTTAAAGAGGAGAGTTTGTAATGTCTTGGAAATTTTGATAGAATGAAATTTAATTTTTGTATGCTATATTTTAATGTTTTGAAAGTGTAGGGACTAAAGTATATGTAAACTAAATTTCAATTTTAGTTGGGATAAAATGTAGATATTGACGGAGGGATAATAAGTATTTGAATATTGGGCTCGTCAGATAGATCGTAATTAATCGTGCATGTTAGGCTCGAGAAAAAGTTAATTTGAATTAGTGGAGCCCAAGTTATCGAGGTTAAAAGATATAGTTTTAAATTATATTTAATTGATCATTTAATGAATTTAAATTTTCTCTCAAGTCACGTGAATGGGGAAAGATTCTTAGTGTATATATAAGAGAAAAGAAGAGAGAGAGTGAGAGAGAGAGAAAGAGAGAGTTATGGTAAAGCCATGTAACTAATGGGTAAAAACCAACTTTGTTTTTATCTTATCCACTCTAACTCCCTAGCTCGAGCCACGTCTTCACATGTAGATAAAAATGGTAACTGCATGCCCATTTTATTATGATTAGTTTAAAAGGTAGTCATGACTTATCATTTGAGACCCCAACCAAATTTCTTGTAGCGCAGGTTTAGACTATTTATCTATGCCAAAATTTATCACACTCACACATATGGATACATATACTCATGTACATGGTAGATTCAAAAAGGGGTATTTATTTTTAGCATAATTAAAGCACAGAAAGAGTCCCATAATTTTACCACGATTATATATACATAGGCAGTCAGCAGAAGACAATCTCATTTTTAGAGGCAGCCAAGAAAATTAGAATATTTGGAACGTGATTTTGAATTTCACCTTTCAAGATTTATTCAATCTTACAAGGTAGGATATGAGGTGCAGTGTTTTTATGTCTCGTTTAATTATTTTTTTACACGTTGATGAATTTTGTACTCATGAAAGTTAAAATTATGGTATGAAATACTATGATATGAATGATATAGTCATTCCGATATAATGATATGATATGAGCTCTTACTGGATTTTAAAGATATGAGACGGTATGATTTTCTAAAACGTGTTTAAAATTTTTATACGGGATCGCACCATTAATTTTTACATCCTATTGAGTATTTCCATGTACTCACCATTTTCCCTACTCCTCATAAGTTAGATCGGGTCGTGTCGGAGTGTGGTGATTTGATTAAGTGGTTGTGTCTCGTCTTGCTGGACAAAAATATAGAATTATAGCACGTAATTTTAATTATTTGCCATAGACATTTATTTTAACACTCAATTATTGTTTATGTTTATTTGTTAAATGGATATTTTTAAATTGTGCAATTATTTAAAAGTTTGAATCGCATTATTTGATTTTCCTTTAGTGGTATCTTATATGAATGAAAGCAAATTTTATTTAGAATTAATTATATAGGATAAAACGAAATACGTGCACGTATACACTGTTTAAAAGTAATTGGTTATACTTTACTACCTTGTTCGTGTGAATGAGTAATTATTAAATTTGTGAAGTTGATGCCAAATTCTACTCACTACAAAGGAATAAATAAAATATGCCTTATTATCATTATTTTAAATTGAGTAAGAAATAAAAATATGGCTAGTTAATATTTTTGTTCATACTATTTCTATTTTATCTATAGAGATTTTCATAACATCTAAGTAGTTGATTATTTTAAAAGAAAATATTCCAACAGTATGAAATTTACAAATTTAGTTGCCAAAAATCCTACTTTATTCAACTTCTAAGAATGTGTCAGTTAGAAATTTAAATTTATGAGCTATAAGTGGTTTAAAATAACATTGACCTTTTTATAAATAAATTTTTTGGATAGCAATTTGAATTAAAAATTTTTGGGTCATTACATGGATAGTAGGCGTTGACCTTAATTTCTATAGGGGTAATGTGGCCAACAAGTACATATTCCACATAGATAACTTCTTGTGCATGGTAGCAAACTGTTAGTCACTAGTAGCCTTTTTTGGAGGTATAGTGGAGGCGGTTGCGAGTGCTACGACGATCTCATCAATGAATGTTCAAGAAGAAAAGAAATAACACTCTTGAATTGATTCAAGATCCCTTTGTGCCTTACAACCTGAAAGTGACTCTCTATCGAAGCACCTGCGGCCCATGAATCTTCTTTGGCCTTAAACTTAAACTACTACCTTGTCGATTTCCTCTCCGCTCCTTAATGTTAGAAGATCTGCCTCCAGCACTTCATTCATGAATATAGCTTTTAGAAAGGAACGAAGTTGCTGGACTATAAAGGAGAGAAAATGAAAGGATGTCGCATTTAAGTTTTCGATATTCTCTTATTAAACAAGGCAGGATATGTGCAAGTTATTAGAGCAGACTGCATGTTTAAGTGTATAGGATTGCATTACCCTTGAAATGGAAATAAGTGAGAGTATTTATAAGGGAAGATGCGAATTTGGAACCGTTGGATGAAGGGACATGTGGCCTTATCTGCTGGCCAATGAGTCCCCTCCTAGATATCAATCAATCAATCCCTATATGGGCTGGCATTAATGCTCCCTAATGAGTGAATTTTGTGACTTGACCTTTTGGCTTCTGCTACGCAAGCATCATACAATGAACTGTGTGGATCTTATTTTGGTAGTTTTTTGTAAAAATAAAAAATAAAAATCCCCTATTTAATATAGATTAGGTGACATGATATTGTTCCAGCAGACGTTGTTCCACGTGTTATCACTTTAGCGTATATCTTTCAGAGGCGAATCACTTGGGACCTCAGTCTAACCAGGGATGTACAAGTGGACTATATCTTCTCGACACTTCGACGATGAGGGATGATAGGGAGTGTGGTTCTTATTGGCTGCCACGTTGATGACAATCTGGAGCCTCTTCATAAGAGGCATAACAGGAGGATTTTCTGATTTGCATAGAGGTAAGTAGTAATAGCAATGGGCCGAGTCGAGCCGGTTCGACCCTGTAACCCACGAGCTAGGCTCGGGCTCAGGCTCGTGGCGAGCCGAGCTCATGGCTCGTTGCTCGAGGGCAAGCTCGTGAGCTCACGAGCCACAAGCTCGTGTGCCGAGCCAAGCCCACGAGCCGCTCATGTTTTTAATTTTTTTTGCACATTTTTTGCACCTTTTTTTTTAAAAAAATTCATATTTTTGGACGAGCCGAGCTCGTGGGCTCGTCAAAATGGCTCGTGGGCACAAG